TTTTTCTGTGTATTTTTTTACATTAAGTCTAATTTGGTATATCTCATTCCAATTTTCCGAGGAAAAATTTGAAGATGAGTTGGGAATAAAAATCCACAAAACCCATCAAACTAATATTTGACAACTACATTTCTAAATCAAATTATCAAATCTAACCCGCTTTATGCCCGTAATTTAAAGTCATATATATGGGTTTGGTGAAACCCGTTTTGGGGGGGGGGGGGGGGGGGGGGGGTTGGTTTTGTTTCTTAATGGTTGTAACTACTAAAATCTGCCCAAAAGATGGAAGTGGGTGTTTGTGTCGCAGTTACCTAGGGTAGTATAAAAGTGCAAGACTCGAAAGAATAAGGAAATTTTGCATAAAGTATTCATAAGTATGTAATAATTGTATATTTATCTAATTTTATAGTTAAAATTTTAATTTATAAAGTATAACGACGGTCAAGATTGATCTAATTTTTATCTGCTTTGATCAAATAGTACAAAATTTATTTCAAAAGTAATTTCTTACTTAAAGACATCATTTTTTCTGTGGGTATCTACAATATTAGACAACTAAATCAACACACTTCTCAATGTCAAACAACTCTATTAATCTACAACCACCTCTTTTATTTTTTATCTATTCACTTTAATTTTAAATTGCATAATTTAAAAAAAAAATTAAATGTTGTATAATCAATATTTTATTTTTGGTATTGTAAGTTGTTTTCAGACAAAAATTTATACTTATATTACACACACAAAAGTATTCCATAACTTGGATACACAAACAAAAAGATGTAGTGAATTGCATATACTATCCCACTATTATATAGTATTTCAAAAATACCCATCCTAATGTGTACACATTCCAATTGCCGCATGATCTGGTCCAAGATTCCATTTTTATCCTTCGGCAAATCGAAGAATTGGCAGTTTTGATTTGACAATATATTACTCAAATTTCCCTATGAATTAGTTCATGATTCCAATCCTGATCCTTCAGACAAGTACAAAATTTGTGTTTTGGTGGTATCGAATGATCACACAAGAACAAGTACACTATATAGAATCACATAAGGTTGACGAAGAAAAACCAAGACTCAACTCTATGGGTTCTGATCCTTCGTCTCAAATTCCAGTCATCAACTTCTCGCTGGTATCGCCGGAGTTGGACAGAGGAACAAAAGAGTGGCACCTCCTGTGCGAGAAGGTCCGAGAGGCTTGTGAAAGCTATGGTTATTTCGAGGTGGTGTATGATAAAATTTCTTCAGTGTTACAAGCAGAGACATTTTCGGATTTGAAGGAACTTTTGGTCTTCCTTTGGAGACAAAGAAGAAGAATGTGAATCCAAACCCTTTCTATGCCTATGCTGGGCAGTATGCCACGGCATCCTTGTATGAGAGCCTTGGAATTGAGGATGCCTCCGACCCCGACTCGGTTCGGAGATTTGAAGAACTAATGTGGCCTCAAGGCAATGATTTTTTTAGGTGAAGATTCTTCTGATCAATCTTGATCTTCTTGTTCATCTTCTTAGTAAGATTTTAGAGGTGTCCACACAAATAGGATAGCCTACAAGGTTTCTGCACCTGTATGCGCATTACTTTTTGGGCCTAAGCTCTCAAAGGATTGAAATTTCGGCTGTGTTTAGTTTGCAGCTTAAAAACTATTTTCTGTTTTCTGAAGAGAGAAAAGCTATCTGATCAGTTTTTTTTTTTTGGAAAATTGAGAACAAAAGTTGGGTAGATTTAGAGTACAAATGCGAACCGTTTTTGAAAACAATCATTGTAGAATTTAGAAAATACCACCACCACCACTATCCACCACCACCATATTTCCACTGCCACCACTGTTTTTGTTATTGTCTGTGAGTATTGTTCAAACAAGTTTTACTGTTTTCTATTCTGTATATCTGCTTTTGAAATCATATAAATTAACGATTGAATATCGAAACCATATAAATATCGAAATTCTTATGTTTCGAGAGTTTGAAAGACCTTCGAAATGTTTTAAGGTATTTCGGCCAATGTTTTAAAAAAGGGTATTCATTCTATTTTTAAAATGTTTTTAGAAAACTATGAAACTAAACAAAATTTTGATTCTTGCATCAACTTGACCAAAAATAGACTTTAATATCACCAGCCACACTTTTTTGTCCCCTTGTTGATCATTGAACTATTTCAACTTCACAGAATTAATCTTCATTCACAGTAATATGTTCTATTCACTTAAATTACACTGAAAAAAAAGAAATGCCAGTGCCAAAAATCTTCAATCTGTACGACTATCTCTTCATTTTCCTTATTTTTGGCTAGTGCAATATGAACTACTACTTCATCAACATCAACCTGTATGATTCCACAGCAAAACAATCAGCTCCATAACTCAGCAGATGGATGAGTTAAATCGTACGACCAGGACGTTGATTCTCGATGCTTATGGCCTGGGAGAGACCTTGAACTCCATCATGCCTTGTACAACCTTACTGCGCCTTACGAAATACAAAGCCTCACCAAATGGGGAGTACATGGAGGGGATCACTGCTCATACGGATAAACTTCTGTCAGCACTTCTGTGTGCAAACCAAGTTTTTGGGCTCGAAGTTGAAGCCAAGGATGGGCAGTGGATTAAACTTTTTCCATCTCCCAATTCCTTCATCTATATGGTTGGTGATCCTCTCATGGTATGATATTGCTGCTCTATAAGCTTAATTTGATGATATGTCTATACTTGTGTGTGCATGAATTTTCTTATAACAATTATGAGCTTATGCCACTACTAGTCCCTCGGGGTATGTCGGTAAATAGCATAATTAAACAATCTGAGTGAGCAACTCGGGTTTGACTCGATTTTAGTTTGTTTACATTTGGTCAAATTAAATAAATAGAATGTAATCAGACCCTAAGCTCGTATTTTTTAAATAAATTGAATCCAACCATCATGTATCTTGACTTGGTTTGGTTCGAATAGGCTCACCTCTATAAGTTAACTTATTCTTAATTACTCTCAAACAATCATTATCTTGAGGATGAACAAAATTAAATTTATCCCCAAATAGCTCTAAACCAAATGCAATTCTCTCCCTCTCTTCCTTAGGTTTCTAGTGTTTGATTTTATGGTTGATTATATATGTTTTGAAGGATAATTGTTTGGAAATTGGATATTTAGGATTGATTATTAAGTATGTTGTTTAATATTTTAGATTATTAAGAAATTGAGCTTGGTTTCGAATTAAGTTCGTTACGAATGCTCGCATGCTTTTGCCAAACTGAGCTTGAGCAAGGACCTTAGTTCAACTCGAGCTTGAGTTCGACCAATATATATAATTGATTCGAATATAAGCATAGTCAAACTCGACAAATTCAGTCAGACCAGCCCCATTTATGCATATACGGGTCTAGTAATGTCAATCAAAATTATTTAATTTGCAGGCATGGAGTAATGGGAGAATGCATGCAGCTAATCACAGGGTGATGATGGAAGGATATGAAGATAGGTATTCACTAGGGGCATTTCCAGCTCCAATGGAGGGAACAACCATCAAGCCAATAAAAGAGCTAGTGGATGAAGAGCACCCCCAAATTCTTGAAGAGTTTGATTACATGGAATTCATCAGATTTTCTTTATCAAAAGAGAGTTTGACCATGGATTCAGCAGGGCAGGCGTTTGCATTTGCTGGAAACTATTGATGAAGTGTAGTTTTTTTCTTGGAAAACGAGGTAGCTAAGCTAGATTGTAAGTGCTAAATCCCACAAAAAGTTCGGGTCATGATAATGAAGAGCACTTTGCTTGGCACAAACAAATGTAATGATAAGAGTTGAAAAACATGATATTGGATATAGTTCCCAAACTTATTTTTTGAAAAATATGTGGCTAGAATGACACGACAAATGGCTTGCAAATACTTAATTGCATAGATTTAGATCTAACCCTACTTAGCCCATTAAATCCATTAAGTATGATGTGCTAAAAGAGCATCTGTTGAATATGCAGAAGAACCAAGTATATAGAGTCAAAAAGAGAGCAATGGCATTGGTTAATGGCACTGATGAGGAGCAATTTGCTATGTTATGAGATTATTGTGAAGAGTTGAGGAGAATAAACCTTGGTACAACTTGCAGGATTAAAACCAAGTCCATTGGAGGTAATCAGTTCTTGTTCGAAAGGTTGTATATATGCTTTGGGGGCAATGAAAAGGGAATTAATTGAAGGATATAGATCAGTAATTGGATTGAGTGGCTGTCATGTTAAGTGCCACCAATCTAGTATTCTGTTGGCAGCAGTTGAGATTGATGCTAACAACCAGATGTAGCTGTTTGCTTTAGTTTTTTGTGGAAAAATAGAAGTAGTATTGTGCTTGGTTTCTTGAACTTTTGAAAGAGGATCTGGATATTGTAAATTCATATGCATGTGCATTCATCTCAGATAAACAGAATGGTTTGGTGGACTCAGTTGGAAACTTATTTCCAATTGCTGAACACAGATTCTGTGTCAGGCATTTGTACAATAGCTTCAAAACTAATCATAAATGTTTCATCTTTGAAAGATATATTGTGGAGGGTTGCTAAATCTGCGAGAGTTTTAGGAAGTCATTTTAAGAAGTTTTCATATCAGTTTTTTTTTCTACTAGTGCCTAATTTCTCCCCAGTAGGATAGTGCAAACACTTGTGCAAGGAGACCACTCGCAGCATCTACCTCAAACACATCTGGAGTTCCACAAGCACATTTTGATCAAACACTTCTGCATCATACAGTGGTTCAAGTCCACGAACTGCACAAAAACTGTTTGTGAACTATTGTTTTTGCTTATTTATGTTTTTTTGATGTAACTAATTTAATTAAATATCTAACTAATAAGTAATACCACCAGATTAAAAGGAACAATAACCTAAATGCAGCAAGCACTCATGAGAAGACATCAACAACATCATCATCAGCATCAGCATCAACTGCTCACTCTGCAGTACAAAAATCAAAATTGTTCATCCCTCCAAGACCAGTACTACTGCAGCATACCAACTAGGATGAACTATCTATGCTATGACTTTTTGTGCAACTAGCAAGTTTATGATGGTTAGAGTGGTATATTGTGGTATAATACCTATTGATGGGACTCTTCTGAAAAAGCCTATGATGAAGACACGTGTCCTCGGGGGTTTCTAGAACAATGTTGCTCGGGTTCAAGCACCATCGGCAAAAGCGTCCTCTCCCCCGAGGTACCTCTCATATAGGATCACATATTCGGTACATTATACAATGACATGTGTCCTCGGTCGCCATGTACCTCGGGAACACACCACCCCTTGGTCCCCCGAGGTGAGCCTTTCCTCGGCGCCGAGGGTCACTCCATCCTGGACGCTTCCTCTACTCCCGGATAAAGTTACTGACGTACGGGACATCAGCCTATGCCAGTCTAGACTATTCATCATGACCTCGTCTTACACACGTAATGTCAGAACATGCTGGAATACAGAAGTCATAGCCAATACGTGACGGACGCGTGGCATATGATATCACATCAAAAACAGGCAAACCGCACGCTATTGCTGACATGCGCTTTGGGAAGCAAACAATTAATTGCACCCTTCTGTTGACGAGACCGCATTCAATGCGGTAAGGTTCGGATATGAAAGACAATAAATGCTCCTATTACGGAGCATTTATTACATCCTTCCCGAAAGGAGCATATTGTACCGTCGGCGTCCCGACGACTCAACATTGATTGCTCGGGACCCCGAGCAGTCAATTAGAGAAGACATTCCTCGTCAAATCAATACACACGCTACCAGTGCCTGATGATCACCTACTGACCACACTGACAGCAATCATGATCTTCTAAGGTATAAATACCCCTCCCAAAAGACAAAGCGGGTATGCAATCTCAAACTCTCAACTACGAAATATCCTTCTCAGTGTTTTCTCCTTTCTCTCTCTCTGATTCAAAGACTGACTAGACCGTCGGAGGGGATACGCCGGAGAACACTCTGGCGCCCTTCTAACTTGTTCTCCTTTGTTCCAGGAAACACCTTTCACACGTACAGGATCGTTCCTCCTTTCCCAGGATCTCCCTTTGCCGTTTTCGGTTGCCACCGTACCTTGTAGGCTGTTTCAAGCAGCGTGTTTGATTACTCAACCGGCTCACCCAAAGTTCACCAGGGGAGAGATCTGTTCCCAATATTTTATATATCGTGCAGGATCGAGCCCGCACAATCTGGCGCCGTCTGTGGGAAACGAGTAGTTTTCCTAATCATTACTCTAAAAAGAACAGTGACCATGGTGAACACCAGACAGAAAGGGAAAGGACCCCACCAACGGAGTCATGATTTGCAAGCTCCCTGCCATCACGGAGGGAGGGATCGCACCAGTACGATTAAAAGTGCCTCTACTCGGTCAAGGGGGGTAACCCCTCAAACCAGTATGGGTATCAGGTCAGGAGGATCAGCCCCCTTGGCCCGTCAGCTGGCAGAGGTGATTGAAGAGAAATTTGACGATAGATTACGTCAGCTGGAGAAGGACAATGTAAACGTCCTTAGCCTGCTCGACGAGTTTGCTACCTCAGGCGGAGGGTCGAGGGATTCATTCCTCTCCCGAGGACTCCCCGTCCATGAGGCGGAGACAAAGGATCTAAGGAACCACCTGGATCACAAAGCAGAGAGCTCCAGGGCCCCGAAGCGACCCAAAGCCGGCGAATGCCATCTTGACAACCATTCCAGGAAAGCAAGGCCATTGGCCCTGGACGACCTCCGGCGAGGTTTATCCAGACGGAGGAAGGGAGATGAATCCGAGGAGGACTCAACCCAATCTACACGACGCCCAGGAAACGAGGGGCTTACCGACGAACCCAGAGACTTCAGGAGGCATCCCGTAAGGGAAGAAGTAGATCTCAGAGCCCGATTAGACGCCAGAAGAAAGGGCAAGACGATCCAGGACGAGGCCGAGGACGAAGTCATGCAAACACCCTTCACGAGGGAAATCAGCGAGATGGACGTCTCAAGAAAGTTCGTCGTGCCACGGTTCAAGACCTATGATGGGCGATCTGATCCCGATGCCCATATCAGACAGTATAAGCAGATGATGTCCCTCTATCATTCGGACCAACGGTTTCTATGCCGGGTATTCCCTATGAGCTTGGGGGACTCCGCGATGAGGTGGTTCGAGGCGCTTCCCCCAAACAGTATTGGGTCCTGGAAAGAATTGACAAGGCAGTTCCTAACCCGATTCATCACGGGGAGTAAGCGCCCAAAGGACATTGGATCACTGCTGACCCTCAGGAGGAGGGAATCCGAGACTCTTCGCCAGTACGCCATCCGATACTGGGAAGAAGTCAATGAGATCGAGGGATGCTCGGAGGTCATGGCAGCAGCATCATTCCGGCTCGGCTTGGCGAGGGACACGGACCTGTACCGATCCCTGACCAAAAAGACTCCCTCGGATATGGGGGAACTGATGGCCCGGATCAACAAGTACTCAAGGGTCGAGGACGAGCCCTCCAACCCAAGAGAAAGGAAAAAGAGCACGAAGATATTCCCCGGAAGGGATTGCTACCCCGTCCAGGGGGTTCGTCCAGAGGAGTTCACACCGTCTTCAAGGAACCCATCTTCAGGTTGCTCCATAAAATCAAACGCGAGCCGTTCTTCAAATGGCCGCCCAGGATGCAAAGCGACCCCTCCACCCGTGATCAAACAGTAAGGTGTTCATATCACCGGGATGTCGGGCATCGCACCGAGAGCTGCAGGGTGTTCAAGTCATTCTTGGAGAGCTTAGTCCGAGATGGATACCTGAAAGAATACATAGAGCCTAGGCCAGAAGAAAAACGAGCCCTTGCCCCGACCGAGGAACCGAACAACGTCATAGACGTCATCCATGTGTGTCCACTGGAGCGCCCCACGTCCAAAGAGCTCGAATCCGACCTCAAGAGGGTAGCTTTTACCAGAAAGGTAGCCGAAGGAGGTGTGGGGCCATCAAGTAAAAGGGCCAGGATGGGTGAGCTTGGCATTACGTTCTCTGACGCGGATTTGACGGGCGTGGTGATTCCTCATAACGACGCCCTTGTCTTAACCCTAAAGATAGGGAAATTCGATGTCAAGAGAATCTTGATAGATTCAGGGAGTTCCTCGGAGGTGATGTACTTCGAGACTTTGAAGCGGATGGGCTTTGGCCCCAAAGACTTAACCAAAATCAGGACACCCCTCATCGGGTTCAACGGCTCTTTCGCCTTGCCCGTGGGGAAAATTACATTACCGGTCGCCACTGGTCCCTTCGTCATCGACACAGAGTTTGTGGTGATCGACACGGACTCCCCTTACAACGTGATTATGGGGCGAACATGGCTACACGCGTTGGGAGCGGTACACTCCACTCTCCACCAGAAGTTGAAGTTCGCCACGCCAGAGGGCGTCATGGAGATCGGGGGGATCAAGCGTCTGCGAAGAACTGTTTTTATTCGGCCGTCCGAGCCGGGGCGTCCAGCCAGGAGAAGGGGCGAGCACCGGAAGAGATCATAGAAAAATAGCAATTACAGTCCGGGCGTCCGGGGATGGATGACCCCCGGGTAGACCCAGCGGAACGGTCGGTTGAAGACCTCCGGAAGGTGCCCTTGGTTGAAGGAGAAGAAGAGAAGTATTTCCTAGTTGGGACCTCGATGCCCGCAGCCGAACAGGAGGAGATGATCAGGTTCTTAAGAGGGAAT